AATAATCCACTTCTGGACATAGGCCTCTCCTTAAAAACGAGGTTGTTAAGTATTCAATTAATAATACAATTAATTTTTAGCTATAAGTTGAAGGCTAATACCACGCCTTACAGAAGTTGTCGCCGAAGATACATCCATACCTAATTAGAGTAGTATATTTTTTAAATCGTATACAGACTAAATATTTCGTACTTTAGGTAAAAGATTTTATTTTAAACGCATTATTTTCAATCCGATGCAACTTGAAAATTAAATAAAAATATCGGTTGACTCTACTGTTTATTTTATTAAACACAATGCTCCGATAATGCCATACCAACTGTTAATCATAATAAACAGTCTGTGAGGTAACATTTGAACATTTTAATTAATAACTTTAATCATAATTAACTTTTAATCACTGCTTCTATTATATTCTTTTAGACAATATACCAACACAGTGTTAAAATTAACCTTCATTTTGTATGTAGGTAGGTATTTAATTCAGTTAGCCACGTGTAGGTACTATTGTGCCATAATTTCTTGAATAACATAATACATAAACTTGGTTATTAAAATTTATTCAATATTTCATGTGGCAGTTTAATAAGTAAATTTTTACAATTATTGTAAATGAAGTTTGTTGAGTGGTCAGAGCGAGTTCAAAGTATGAAACTGAAGGTAATTAGGTAATATTTGTAATAATCATAATAAAAATTCGTTCAAAGTTCCGATCATGTCATAACTGTTCTTCTCAGTCAGTAAAGTATTACTAAGACTAGCGACTAGCTACAATACAAGATACCGTGTGGTGATATGTCCGTGTGGTGACGGATTAAGAATACGGAGTTACCACCCTTATTCATCCCGTGAGTGTCGTAAGAGACGACTAATGGAGCAAACTACGCATGACAACAGCATTGCAAAGAGAAGGAACACTTAAAACAAACCCTATTTTGTGTCTGGGTGTAATTTATCTATGTATGTATTTAGAAATATATACCTAAGTATGTTTATCAGGAGTCTTGTTAACAAAGGCTATACATCGTCAGTGTGGTAACGGGTTAAGAATACGAAGTGTCAAGACCCCTACTCATCAAGACAAGACAATAGTACTGCAAAGAGAAGGAAAACTTGACACAAACCCTATACCAACCCGTCTCTATCTTTCTAAGGAGAAGCCTATGTCCAGCAGTGGACAATTAAAGGCTGTTACCATAGTTACCACAGCATAGGCTCTGACTAGTATAGGATTAGATGTGTGAAGTTATAATTAATGTTACTTAATTTTTGTTTAAATGTAGAAAAACTGCATAAAGCTACACCTTTATTTTTTTTGTTGACGGGGTGGAAAAGCCCTTCGGATCTCTTGCTCCTTGGGAACTCAGAAACCAGGAGTATCTGGTGATTCCAAGAAAAACCACCCCCGACGGTCAGCCTCGGGCGCCCTACTCTGATTTCAGCTACACCTAATAGGCCAGTATTTATTGAGTATATTTTGACCTGTCATAGTACAAAGTATAGAGTGGCATATGTATGGCTATAGGATTGAGGCCTATTATGCAATACTAACATAAGATTTTATAAATCATGATTACTGTTCAAAACCTATATATATATGAAGGTACCCCAAAGGCGTAAAAACTTCTGTATTTTGTAAGTGCTTCAAAGAATTACAATACGGTCAGAAACCTTCTTTACTTTACCGTCGACAAAACCGGTACAAGTAATTACTGAAACCTTATAATTTAAACAATGTCAAAATTTTCTTTACAACCCATTAAACATGTTTCAACATACAATATAATTATTAAATTACGAAAAATGTTGTGCCAAGCAGCTTTCGTGAGTGACTTTAAACCGTATTCGTTTCTTCATGGATTATTTAATGCATAATTAATCAGAGTACTCTCTTAATTAAACGAAGCTATTTTTATTACTACATAGTACCCATACTATACATAAATTTAACCAATTTACTTAGGTTTTTATTTATAGTTCTTTTATTTATAATGTCCAACGGGAGTGCTTGTTCAATTTAAATGACCGTGATGATATTGTGTTCGTGTTGGTAGTAGGCTCTTCTTAAAAGATGATTTCACTATTATGTACTAGTATACTGTCCATTAATATTCCTCTTTTCTATATTTCCTTTCAATTAGGCTACTCTCAAACGACCCGTCTAATTTCGAAAATATGGCGGTAATGAAGCTTGCTTTACTCGTATCTACTACGTGAGACAGACAAAAATCGGTGAAAAATGTAGTCGGCAGAATCTGTGTTTATTTACACCTCTGCTTATCCCTTCGGAGTAATAATATGCAGAAAATATCCCTACTATTTTTTGAATAGACGAGAACCGGTGTATTCAACATGGTATGGACGTTGGCAATGTTGTGATGAAAGAGAACTGATAACGTATAGCAAACATTCATGAGGTTCGATGTAGTAATTTAAGCTTAAAAGCCAACCAACAAATAAACTAACATTTGGACAATTTGAATCGTTCCTCCTCCTGTCCCCTTACTGATGAGGATCGTGACCTCTGCAAATCCTCCTTCAGACGATTGTTCTCCACCTATTGCGGTCCTCAGCAGTACGTATGGCTTTGCAGACCCCTTCACCGGCGGTGTCCCGGCTCTTATTTATCCAGCGTAGGTATAGATATCCTTTCTCTTGACCGCTTTCCCTGCACTTTGCCTGTCACCAGGATCTTCCCGAGGTTGTCATTCTTTTGCCTATCTATGAGATCAAAGAAGTGCGGGGTCCTCCGTATGCAGATCGTCGAAAGCGCCATCGTGATCCCCACTTTGTTTACACTTGTTTTATTTATTATAACTTAATTATATTGCATTATTCATGACTTAACGTAGGCAACACTTTTCTAATCTTCTATAAAGAAAAAAAAGAATGAGGTACAGAAACTTCTTTTAAAAGCTTTAGTATAGCGATCTAGAAGGTCTAGCTACTCTAGTAGACGACATCAGGTTATTACCTACAGTAGGTGAATACTGCAGTACCACAGAATATCCCCAATCAGGCTAGGTTACCATACAAGTGGGGGCGGCTGGGTTTCGTGTCGTTATACACCTGTTGAAAAAATAATTGAATATTAAATTGCGACATCAACATGTTGATTAAACTGAAGATAAGTGCAATATTCATAAGGTGATGTTTGGTTTACACTCAGTAAAAATATCCAGTATAAATTTGTACGTTGAACTATCAATATTAGGTATATTTCAAAAACAAATATTCTAAGTATAATTCTAAGTATCTTCAAACCCCTTTTTTTTTCCGTGCGGAAATCCCCTCGGATACCACCTGTCGGTGGCAAGTCGGACTCGAACCGACTAAAACCGCACGCCGTCTCGGGTACTAATAGCCGGGGAACCAGGTATACCCTAGAAAGGAAGTCCCTGGTGCAATCTTCAAACCCCTGACGCAAAAACGACGGGTCGTTAAAGTTGTACGTGTCTGTGTGTGTATGTGTGTCAGTAAACAGACTTCTCCCATCACAGGGCTGAACAACTTTGTAATGTTAACAAATATTAAATACTATAAATAAATTAATGATTTGTCTTCCTATACAAGTTTAAAAATAGCACTTCGGGCTGTAATCCTCCCGAGGACATCTTTACGTATAAAATTGCAGTGTTTGCATGTCTGTAATTATTCTACTCCTTAATCATTAAACTTGAGCTATTCTTTTTGTGCTTTGCAAATAGTGATGTACACGATATACCTAAAATCAATTATATTGAATATTACTATAACTTGGCTTCAAAAGAATATACAATCGATTCACCGCTGTACTTTTGTAATAATTCTAACTTGACAAAATGATTCAGTAATTTGAACAGCTTATACTTAAGAGATATTATCACGATAGCAGGACATGGCTTTTATCAAGGTATATTGCAATGGCCAATGCAGGTTGTGTTGAAGAATAAGGATGAAATAAAAAATCGTGATCCCGGCTAATTAAAATTGCACATTTTTTTTTATAATAAACAAATAAGATTTCTTGTTATATCTGATCTAAAACATAAAACAAAGCCTGTATATATACCTACATGATAATAAGACTGCTGATAAAAGTACTTAAATAGAAACAAATTATAAATAAAATGTAAATAAATTATTTATCCTGCGTTTGAATCTAACCCACGAGCTCTGGTTTAGCAGTCAGCTGGTTTAGCAGTTAGCTTACGACAACACCAATAGACGAATAGGCCAGTCAAATAGGTATAGTCAGTCTTAATTTGATTAATCAAAAATTCTATGAAATTCTAGTCTATAAGTTAATAACCAGGAAATTTGTTGAAACTGTTTCCTTATTGTTAAACAAAGGTTATTTGTTGAAATACCGGAAAATGTATTATGATGTAAAACTCAGGGAAAATAGTTTATGATCTTAACTAACCTTGACGGGGAACGTCTGCTTAACTATTCTATTAGAATTGATCAAAGATAATCGGATGACCAATGCTATCTAACTTGAAATGTTTCCGCCATGGTTGGATAGGAAAATTGTTATTCTTTATGTTTTATTAAACGAAGAAAAATCTTACTTCTTAGTTAACCTTACACGTTGTACATAAACCAGATTCTAGCTCTCTTAAAGTTTTAATTTTTATAAAATTCCCAAATTACCTCAATTGGGAGAATAAGTATAAGACACATTTATTCAAAGCTAAATTTTTAACATTATACCTTGACGGGTTTCGAAAAAAAGGGTCTTCTCGGAACAGAAAAAAAATTGCGTACGAATCTTTTTAAACAATCGCTCAAATACAACTTTAAGGAACATTATAAAATTTACATTACAGGCACGATAACGCGATAACGCTCAAATTGAAACAAACTCTTTTACGGCTTTTACACATCTTTTTTGGTATTCAGGACACAACATTGGAGATATTATTTTCGTAAGATAAATATTCTCTTTCAACTTTTCAATTCGTAAAGATGTGACAAAAGAGCAAACAAAGTCCGATTGATCATCTCTTTTGTTGCAGAGTCCAGCGTCGGAGTCAGACAGCAGTTCAGTGTCGGGTGCCAAATCCCCGGCCTCTGCACCTCCGTTGCTACAACATTTGCTGCAGCTGCAGGCGCAAAATCCTCACTCTATAGCACAGGTAAACAGTACACTACATGACAGAGCCTGACACTTATGTGGAAGAACCTGAAAGTCCTGAGAAAGGCAGAGAAAAAGAAAGAGACATATTCTGCACAACTAGTTCATTGTATTTTAATGAGGGTGAAAGCTTTTGATAAACTTTCTTTAAATAATTTATTTCTTTATGAAAGCAAGTTCATGTACGTGGGTAGAAACATCATTTTGAATGGTTGTCGATGTCTAGAGTTAATTCAAACAACAGGCGCGGATCGGGATGGAAACGTAAAGTGAGTGGTTATTCTAGCTTGGTCTTTGCCCGAAAGCAGTACTCTTGTAGTATCGCAGTCTGATCTTTTCCGCCGTCTGATCCATACCTTAAATATTTGTCAAGTCCTTTGTCTTTTATGCGACTTGGATATGACGATAGTAGTGTTGAATAATACACAATACTTTGGTTTTGTAGAGTATAATTTTGCAATTTGTTGTAAGGTGAATAAGGAGGTAATCGACCTTATACCAAAAATTAGGTACCTAAGTCCATTTCACCGTGACTGTTAAACATTAGGTGCTTTAACTTAATTTAAAATTGCGTAAAATCGATCAGTTTTCGATTATATAAAGAAATTACTTTTTGTATTGTACCTATATCCTTTGTGTTCTGCATTTAATCTTATTCACTATGATTTTTTAACATTGTTGCGTTGGTGATACGCTTTCATATTCCACTGGCCTTTTGAATAAAGGCCAGTGGAATATGAAAACTAGAGATTAGTATGGAATATTTAGAAATTCTCTAAAATTAAAAAATAAAAGTCGTTTAATGAACGATAAACTTTTCAAGAATCACTAAGAAGTCGATAAAACAATTGGTTGAACGTCATCTTCTTTATAAAGTCGTTTAAAATAGATATCTCTTTAATATTTGCGATCCTTTTCTTAACGACTTGAGAGTTAGCATAGAAAAGAGAGACAAATTAATACGACAAATATACCTACTCTCATCATTCATCATCTCTGCGTACTCTTACAATGATGATCAACAGATTTCATTAAGCACCAAGTGCATTTAAAATTATAGAAGCGATGACAAATTATGTAGCTATCATTTCTCATAATCTTCCAAGCCCTTAAGGCCCTTAATCGAAATAAAAAAAAATCGGTTGTCTGTAAAGTCGGTTTACTGACGATAGTTGAACGGGATAACATCATAAGAAAATACTGATGGAATGGTTGCATTTTTCAAAAATGTATTATTGTATACGAGTAGCATCTGTCCACGCGGACGCATCGCTCACTCAAGTAGGAGAGAGACAGGTATCGAACGCTGCCGAACGCGCTCGTTCCGCGCTCTCGCTTGCACTTCACGCCTTAAATGGACCGCCTCAGAGCGAGGTAACGCCGCATGAGTCATGTTTTTTCGTGCGTGCAGCCGGCTCCATCGAATTATAAGACGTTGTCACGTCAAAAACATTATTCTAAATGTCATACCCTGATGTTACAAAGCCTTCTTCACTAAATGTTCTATCCATTTTAAAAAGTTTTGTTCAAATCTGAATGACAGTTACAGATGTTAGGGCATTTAAGCAATCAAAGAAAAAAACAATTCCAGTTTATAAACATTGAATTCAATATTCAAATCCGTGTGGTGACGGATTAAGAATACGGAGTGTCACCATCCCTATTCATTCCGTGGGTGTCGTAAGACCCGACTAAGGGAGCAAACTACGCATGACAACAGCACTGCAATCAGAAGGAAAACTTAAAACAAACCCTGTACCAACCCGTGTGGCTAGCGTGGTATAGTAGGCCAAAACCTCCTTTCTAAGGAGAGTCCTATGTCCAGCAGTGGACTATTAATAGCTGTTGATGATTATAAATACTCAGAATAGAAGTATACACAATGAACATTGTTAAATTATTCACAAAGGATTAATATTCTTATTAATAAGGTCACTTTTGGAATTCTGTTCGCCCACTTTGGATTATTTATAAGAACCGTCCAATGCTACAAGCTACGTTCGAGTAGATATCTGACAATTCTGACAGTTTTATGACATTGTAAATATGGTCTTTGTTAATTTATTTGTTGTTGAAGTTTGTCTATTTGTTTAATTTAAATTAGGTGTTGAGAAGATATATAAGTCAGAGGGGACTTCATGAAAATAGGTAATTCCAGTTACACATGTAACTGCGACCTTGACCTTCAATATCTATCTATACTGACTGCCTCGGTGGTGCAGTGGTATCCTGAGGTCTCGGGTTCCATTTCCGGGTCGGACCAAATGTTTGTATGATCTGCAAATATTTGTTTCAGAGTTTAAAAATTAAAAAAAATCCATATTAATAAAATAATATAATAGTGACCATCAGTAGCGTGTACAGGGACTAAGATACCGGTGGTTAGGACCCCAGAGACAGAAACCTCCTTACAATACGTGCCGTATCGAGAAGAACTGCTTTCTGCATCCCTGCCTAACGCGAATATAATTATTATAATAATCCTTTCCTTCAGTTAATCCGTGTGCTTATTTGCTCCTTACACCATAAAATTATGGGTTTTAATAAATGGGTACAACTAGAATCCCACCCAACTTTAGACAGCTTAATGTAAAAGCCTATTCTTTAATATATCAAATGTATAAATAATCCAGGTTTACATGTATGTCTGTGTGCAGTTCCAGCAGATGATAGCGGCCCTGGCGGCGTTGGGGAGCGGGCTGGTACCCCCGCCACCCGTTGGGTGGTCTCAAGCTTGGATGATACCGAAGATCGTGCAAAGACCGCAAGCGGATCGGTGAGTTAACTTTTTTGTTTCTAGACTCTGACCTTACCTAACTACTCCCACAATGATTTTAAGAAGACAGATTTATTCGTTTCGCCGCCTGACATTTTACACTCAAAATACTCGTAGAATCAAAATAAAAAAAAACACTTAAAATTATTTTTATAATAAAAGTATGCAATTTATTGAATCAAACGGCAAAATTAAAAATAATTCACTTTTCTGATGTTAATGCCTGATAATGAATCTTTCTAGCTTTCCATTGGTGAAAAAACTTTTAAATCGGTTCAGTGGTTTAGGCGTGAAAGCGTAACAAATATACAAACCAACAAACTCCCTTTCGCATTTGTAATATCAATATGGAAGTATGGATTTACAGTTTCCTGTACCTGCAAAAATGTTTCTAAAGATTTTCAGTGCTTATACGTCTTATTTACAAATCTTCAATAAACGCGTGATTGAAAATCTCTGATATAAGTATTCAATGGCGTTCATACTTTGTATATGGTAGCCACAAGGCCACCATTATTTATAATTTCGAGAAAATCAACGATGAATGGAAAACACCTTCACCTCTATAAACCGACTGGCGGTAACCGTTTTACAAATATTAAAGGCCAAGCCACACTTTATTCTATGGTTATCGAATGATTTATAATGGAGTAATTCTGACTGTGTCTAAAACCTATTGTCATCTTCTCTTGCCAATGGCAATTAATCAATATTTTATCAACGGTGGGTCTGCCATTAATGGAACTTATCTCAAATTATATTCTTTTCAACACACGATACTTAATAGAATACAAAATTAAACCAATAACTCTGACTATAAATCAAACTTATGCTGTGGGAGATTCATAATTCGTGACAAATGGGCCAGATCGACCGCATTGATACCACGGCCTAACAGAAAACCAGTGTTAAGTAATTTTTTCGTTACTTTTCACCGAGTACGTAATGTTACCGGAGCCCAAACCCCCTTCTCCATGATTCTTGAGTCGCAGTTCTCCATGGACGAACTTTTGCATATAGGTATTTTTTTGTTTGTTTTATTGCAATCTGTTTCCTTGAACATTTAGCATAAGGTTTAGTATGTATGGATAGTCTAGCAGGGCAGTCAGTCAGTGATGTGCGCCCTTTGTTTATCATTTTCCCTATAAATCTCTAGGGGACTTTAGGTATATCATCATCACATCAACAGCCTATAACAGTCCTCTGCTGAAGGCCTAGAAAGGAGGTTTTAGGCTACTTTACCATGCTCGCCAGGTACCCAGGTAGGTGGCTGGGACCACGCTTTAGGTAAAATAATAATATAATGGTAGACTGGATATTACAGATCGTAGGTGAACAAATATACAACCTCTGACTAAACATCGTAACACGAACTTTTCAATAGCATTCAAAATCACGTTTGAAAAGTCATTGAAAATTTTCGAGCAGTACTAACAGCGTGGTTCCAACCCATGGATGTATGACAAGGCCAACGATAGGATTTATGATGATTCCACACAAAATTATACCTGCATTGAATATTGCCGTTCTAATGGCATTGAAACTAAGTTTACGGCAGTCCCGAACTCCACTTTCAATGTTTAGTTTAACAATGCACATTATAATAGCCTATTATTTATCATATTGTACTAATAATACGTTTGTTTAGATGGGATTCCTTCCCATCTAAACAAACCAGGCTTCAAATTTTATCAAGGTAGCAAATCTCTTAACAATCAAACAGATTATTACCTTTACTTTATTCTATATTTAAGCGGGTTTAAGCGGTCGACACCCCGCTTCCAAGTGCGCTGACTGTTGTGGGTTCGATCCCCACATGGAACACCACTATGTGTGATCCACAAATTGTTGTCCTGAGTCTGAGTGTTCTTTGTGTACGTTTCATGTATGTTTGTGAAGTACCCCGCGACACAGGATAAATATTCCAAAAGCGGAAGTTGTCTTTTAAAAAAAATAAAATAATAACAATCGATGTATAGCATAGAATCTATATTTGAAATGTCTTTTTTTATAGATTTTTATTTAATGATACGAGTATTACCCACGTATAATACATATGTATTAATTTATAATATTACAAAGAATTCAAGCAACGATTTTAACATTTATCCATCTCTCAGTTGTATACTATTCTCTAGTTTTAACTCAAATTCATCTGTTTATGGCAAAGAAAATTAATTACAACTATTCATAACTATAGACAAAAGGCTTACTACATGGTTTACATTTAGATAATATTGATTTTTCAATGTACAGTAGAAATATTGGTTCAAGTCACTACTTATAGTGGAACGTAACTCTTTAAATCATCATCATCATCATCATGTAGCTGAAGGTTTATGATATAAGCAGATCAAAAATTATAACCTATTTATTTATCTAATAATCAGTTTAAAATTTTACCCTACAATCTCTGGGCCACCACTAGACCAACAGGCCACAGGACCAACAACCGTGTTGGTCTAGTGGTTAGTGACCCTGACTTCTAAACCAGAGATCGTGGGTTCGATTCCTACCCAAGGCAAATATTGTGTGAAGAGCACGACCATTTGTTCTGGGTATGGGTTTAAATAATCTGTACTAGTAATTTCGGTTGCTAGTAGACCTTTAAAAAAAAAAGAAAAACCAGGACTTAAAGGTAATAACTTGTAAAGATCTCAAAGAAACCTATTGATCTGTAGCCTTTTTTCAAAGAAAATCTCCGTTACGTAACAATAACTAACGCGTTACGTACTCGAACACGATGGATATAAACACAGTACCCAATTTTCATACTATTAACCTTGATCCCCGTATCGAGTCGTATCGTTAGCCCACTGTGTGACTGGAATACTTAATACAGCTTGAATAATACTTGTTACAAGGGCTTTACTTGTATTTAAATCTATGTCGTAGTACATTTTAGTTAGTTGTAGCTGTAGAGGAGTATATTAATGTAGGTATTTTGGCGTTCAAATACATATAACTTTTTTACATAGGTGAGCGTGTGAGAATTATTATTAACTATCTGAATTCGTCTGTCTCTTTCAAAAGGGACACACATTTTTCATTGATGCTCGGGTCCTTTTGGTTGTAGCGTGATTTTATATGTCTGTTTTTCTTTTTTTTTTTAAAAGAGAAATAAATCCTATGTCGCGGACGACTTTACAAACATTCATGAAACGAATACAAAGAACACCCAGACTCAGAACAACAATTTGTGGATTACATAAAGTGTCGTCCCATGTGGGGTTTGAACCCACAACACTCGGCGCAGTAGGAAGCGGCGTGGCGACCGCTTAAACCACTACGCTATCCGTGCAGTCTATGAATAAATGTCTATGAATAAATGTCATATCTAACAATAAAATAATTTTTCAATTCGAAATAGAAGTTCTTGAGATTAGCGCGTTCAACCAAACCAATACATATGTATATAATTTGAGACAACTCACACACGGCAAACAACAGAACTCGTACTATGGTAAATATTATAAACATACTTATATATTTCTATAGGTACATATTATAGATAAATCTCATCCCTTACTTTTCTACCCCAGGGTTGATATTTTTCTTTAAACTTAATGGGACACTACAGTTTTCCAAATAATATAAAATCCAAATCGGTTTATAATGTTCTGAGGTAAGCTCCTCCTTTTTTTTAAATCGCTTTAGAATTTTGTATTTATAACAAAAGATAAAATACACACGAAACCGTGCTAACAATATGGCGTCTAGTCATTTGTATGCTCAAGGCTCTACGTAATTTGTAATTTAAATGCGTTTAGTTGATTTTGCATTGTGCCCGTCTTCGTGTGTGTCTTTACATCATACACAGTGCATTATATTTATGTTGTTTATGTTGTTTATTATGTTATTTATGTTGTTATTGTCTTTCTCTATATCTAATACAAAAACCTAGAAACTAAAATGTATATAATCATAGTTATACAATATTTCTTTTTTTATTTATAACTTTATGCACTTTTGTACATCGGCGACTTAATGTTAAATATATGTGCAGGCGTTGATTCTTACTCTGAGAGGACAAAATCCATGTGATATCAGGTCCTACCCGAATCGACAAAACGCCTAATCAGACCCTATCCCGGGGAAATTACTTCCCCCCTTCACTCGCGGCGTGGTGGCCCGATTGCGTCTTAATGCGATCAGCCCGCTATCGCAGCAATTAATCTGCCATCAGAGGTCCTAATTCTCTGGCAGTCCGTGGCAATTTTTTTGGTCCAAAAAAGTTGTCGGACAAGCTTAGATTAGAAATTCTGCCCACACTCTTCCTATTACTCTCATCTCTATCTGTCCTTGAGTGTTTATGTTCAAGGGCGCTCGCAAGGTCATTTTCTTGAAATGTTTAAAAATACTTAGCAATTAATCTTATAGAAATTATACATTATCTTCTGTCCGTGTCCGTGTGGTGACGGATTAAGAATACAGAGTATCACCACCCCTTTTCATCCCGTGGGTATCGTAAGAGTCGACTAAGAGAGCAAAACTACGCAGGACAATAGCACTGCAAAGAGAAGGAAAACTTGAAACAAACCTGAATGTTTTTTGAACGTTTATAGATGACAGAATGAGGATGGTGTGTGTAATATATATATTTTTCTTCGTTCAATAGGTCATCTTTAAAATGGTTGTTTTGCTTCTAGGTTTATCCCAACCACTTAGAAATGACGTAGTATAGTTTTCCCAAAACCTTTCTTATAAACGTCATTTACATACATGGGTCAAAATCACCAAGGTGGAAAATTCCGAGTTCTGTTTTATGATGAATGTACTTAACAGCTATTACATTGATAATAAGCTTAGATGTTCACTAAACTTGTGTTTCAACAATGTGTACGTTGGCAGAGCATAGAATAAAGTACTACTCCTGTAATTTTATTTTTCAATTGAGCTGTCACTGAAAACAATCATTCCGGGATCGTTTTTGTAAGACTTATAATAAAATTAAAATATAACTTAACTATTTCTCTAGACCCTGTATATTAGCGGCAGTA